CCGGAGCCTGTGCTCCGCAACGGGAGAGGCCACAGCGGTGAGAGGCCCGCGTAACGCAAAAAAAAAAAAAAAAAAAAAAAAAAAGAAAAGACAAAATTTCTTGGATTACTGGTCTGTTCTTAATAAGAGATTGTAAAAAGGTTTTGTTTACCTTTTAAGTCATCTACTTAGGAAGCAAAGATTCTGTGTCTTATTGGAATAATTTCCAGTACTTTAACCATGTTTTTGATTATTTAAGAAGACCAAGTCTTTTTTCTTAAATAAAAACTGACCTGTGATCCTATTTAATCAGATGTTCAAACCTGCTGACGTTTTGGCCAGCTTCCCAAAATCAAATTCTAAATGAAGTCTTTTTGACCTGGAACTGACTTTGAGACTTTCCACGGGGTCCCTGGAAAATCTCAAAGGGTTTGTCCTCTCACCTTGTGAAAAAGGAGATGTTTAACTAATTAAGTTTATGTCATAATAAGTTAAGTTGCACGGAAGCACTGTCAAATGGGAAGAGGTGCTTAACCTTCCCTAGGTTATACTGGTATGCCTAAATGTTATTGATATAAGTAATTCAAAAATTCTATGAAGTTCCTAGAAATTTGTCAATGCCCTCATTGTCTATGATATGTCCTGATAGAATGTTATCAGTCTTCATTTCAGTTATTATCCTAAGAGAATATATGTCACAGAAACAACCAAATTTGTCAACTGCATTATTTTTTATAATGAATTCTCATCAAACTTTAACAGTGGCCATTTTAAGTTTTTTGTCATTCACAGATAGTTATTCTGTTATTCTGATGCTTTCCTGAAAGCTCTTGCAATCAGCTACAAGCCGGAATACTTTGTCTTCAACAAAAGGGATGTCTCAGAGAACCACAGAAAGATCTATGACCTAAGGCACTCTGGGGTACAGGCTTCTGATGGCATTGCTTAAATAAATTTGAGATCATACCACTAAGGATATTCAGAATTCTAGTGGTGAAGCTGATGACTTCACAAAACTGCTAAGCCAGTTTAAAGTGGAACAAGAATTATTATGTGGGACTGAATGAGCAAATGAAAAATGATTATAATTTTTATGGATTTTTTTGTTTATTTGTTTGGAATATTGCTTGTTCTTAGATGTTTTGTTTCTCTGGATATAAGGAACCCCTTTTCTGTTTTCTCCTAAGCTATGTATAACTCACAACAATTAAGAAGATTATATCTTTGCAAACTGAAAAGAAACATTTATCTTTTTTTCCCTAACTGATCCCTCCAGAATTCAGAAACTCTTATTGAATATTTTTATTCTCATTGCAATATAGTTGCTTGCATAAGTTCAGTAAGAATCTGTTCTCTTTGTAACAGGACATAATTGAGAAAATTGGGTATATCACAAAGGCTTTAACTGGAATGTCATATTTGAGATTCATGTACACAGAATCATCTATGACCAAACAGTTTTCAGGAATTAAGATTGCTTTATGAAGCCAATGTTTACAAAACCGTTCTGGAAAAACTGGCCTGGTACCTGGCTTACAGACTTCCCGGCCTTTATAGGTGAGTAGGGAA